TTTGAGAAGGCCATATAGCCTAGGTATTAATTTGTGATCTGGTTAGAATTTATTAAACAAGGAATCATTGATCAAATGTGTACAATTTTTAAGGGTAGTTTTAAATTTGGTATTATACTTATTTAAGGGGTTAGTGATTATAACGAAACTGTTAGTGTTCAAAAAGTTGTAAACTTTAGACAAGTAATCAAATTTGTTCAGAATTAATAGACAATTGCCTTTATCTGCTTTTGTCAATATTAGATCATTATTTTTAATGTTTTTATTAACGTTTTTAATTAAATTATCATTAAAAGTGCCTCTTGAAGAGAGATTATTTAATAACGTTTCTTTTTCTTTTTTGAATATGTTAACTAATCCACATCTAAGATCTTCTTTATTGTCAATTTCAAAGTTTTGTAAAATGGACTCTGCTTCTACTGCTAGTAGTTCTAAGTTTTTATTAAGTGAAATGACATTTGATCTAGTTGGATTAAATTTTATACCCTTGTTAAGGAGGTCAATTTCAGTTTCTGTAAAAGTTGTATCAGAAAAATTTAGAAGAGGAGTATGAAATTTATGTGAACTTTGATCTGAGGGATTGTTATTAACATTGTTGTTTTTAATTTTTAGTTTGATTAATTTTTCATTCAAAGTTTTCATCTTATTGCATCTATCATAGTTAACCAAATTATGTACAAAAGACATGAAATTGTCAAAATATATGAAAGGCCAAACCTCTTTTAGACGGTCATAAGTTGTTTTTAGACGTAAATCTAAAAAGTAGAGTTTTCTATATTGTGTCCTGATTTCTTCTTTCAAAAGTAAGACTTTAAGGCGACGTAGGCATCTCCTACTGTTCAAGATAAACAGAGAGTTTATCTTGATGTGTATGTATTTTGGTGTTAGGTTTTCTTGTAAACATCGGTTGTTAAAGTAAATATTACAATTGACTTTCATCCTCTTGATGGAACTTAACTTGTAGTCGTTGGCTAAAGCTGCTGGACTGGCATTATCATTGACAAGGGGGGTAGCCATGTGTGAGTTGAGGTAATTTTAAGGTAAAGGGGGAGAAAAAGTCCTTTATATCTCACAAGGAAGGTATTTATTTATTTTTACAATTTTTGATTACACGGTATAATTACCTTGCCAAGCTAAGGCATTTTCGGGTTTTAAAAAATAAGATTTCAAGTAATCACGTAATTCATAAGCAGACTGTTTAACAGGTGGTACTGGTGGATTTCTAAGTGTCGGGTTATCTTTCACAATCTGTGGAATTGAAAACCTACCTTCTTTGAGTTTTATAAAATTATGGAGAACACAAGCACTTTTATTTACTAAAATCGCTGTATCCTCGTGACATAATATTGGCCTTTGAAAAATTTCAAATTTAGATACTAGCATTCTGAATGCATATTCTATGCTCTTTCGGCCCCTTGATAATCTGTAGTTAAATATTCTTTTCTCATTATCTAAAATCCTTTGTGGATATGGTCGCATCAAATTTTTTTGTAATGGGAATGCCTCGTCTCCTACAAAGTAAAATGGAAAATCTACATCATCATTTGGCAATGGTCTTGCCTTTGGAATAAGAAGTTTTTCCTTGAGTGGAAGACCGGAAAACTGCACCGTCACTCATTCTACCTGCTTCACCGACATCAATGGTTAGAAAAATTCCATCAGCATTTGCACAGGCCATCAGTACCATCGAAAAAAACTCTTGTAATTATAATAGTGCGATCCGGTGTTGTAAAAATTTTTTATTCGGCAATGCTTCCCATCGATGGAGCCTATGCAGTTTGGAAGATCCCATAGTTCGTAGATTGCCAAATTGCCTCTGTTGGAACAGGCATAAACAGTGGTTTAAGAACGTGCCATATAGCCTTTGTACATTCTTTAACAATTATTCCTATAGTAGTATCTCCTCTCATAAATCTATGGGTGAGGGCCTATTTTAGTTACCCGAAAACAATATTGTTTTAAATATTATAAATTTTTTAATACTTCAGCCAGAACATTTTATTACTTACGTAAAATTAAAATGTTAATTTTCTCTGAAACTATCTTTTGTGGGTTGGTCGCTTTCTGCAGAACTGGGCCCAATTATGCTCCACCAAATCAAAATAGAAATTTTTCAAATAATTTTAACACACCTAATATTTTTTTTAGAAACAAAGTAATAATTTTCCGTTTAAAACTTTTAATGTAAATTCAAGACCCATACAACGTAATTACCCAACTAATGCACAAGTTTTCGGACAGAATTTTCCAAATAAGAATACAAATGTATTCCAACCAAATAAAAAACAAATTTATCAAACCCTACACCTATGTCAGTATCAACTAGGAATACTAGACCAAATTATTCGAGACCAGCTTCAAATTATTTTAGAAATTCGGCAAAACAGTCACCAAAGTTTACCTCCGAAGAGTTATTTAACTCTCAAACAGAACCTATATACAATTCAATGGTTAAAAACCATGTTAGTTAATATTATAATGAATGTAATGATTCCGAAGAAGTTAATGATAATAAAGGTCAAACTCTAAATTTTCGGTAATGGCATCGGAACAAAATAACTCACAACAAAATCCCGTACACATTACCCTATATAATTTTCCCTGAACATAATTTAAAAATATTGGTGGACACAGGATCCTCGAAATTATTCATTAACCCTGAAGTAGATGAAAAATGTTACCCAAATGATATAATAGATGAACCATTTGTAGTGACTACAGTTTTCCAGAGATCGGCGTATAAATATAGTGTAACTATTAATGCCTCTAAAATTTTAATCTTAATAATAAAGAAAAATTAAAATTCTTTTTAAGTTCTACAATGTATTTGATGGCTTAATAGGCATAGATAATATTAAGATATTGCAAGCAAATATAATTTTTCAACAAGGATATATTGTTACACCATTTGCAAATATTCTACTTCATTATCATAAGATAGGAGCTTCTAAATACTCAAACTATAATAATGCTTAGCGTTTACCATTGGCATGCACTGAGTTCATCTATGTACTTGAACCGGTGCGATCCCGGTTCATTAAAAAATTGCACAAAGTGCAAAGTCAATGGAACAACCACATGCACCGACTATAAATGTCATGTATCAATACTGTCAGTCATATATCTATCTTTCAACTTCAACTTTTTTGGTTGTGTAAACCACACAGATTTTGTAGATTTTTACTTCTGGCGATTTCTTTGCATCTCAAATAATGAAAGAAATAACTTATAAGATTAATAAGGAGCTGTTTACCTTAAATATACCAATTAACGATGAAAAGGGCATTTTAAATTTACAAGGTAAGTTTTCTTTGTCGCAATTTTCTGTATAGCTAGATATTTCCAGTATAAGTTGTAACATTTTAAAAATCTAATTATAAAATGTTATTTTAAATGTGTGCCATCCGGTATAATTCGATTATCGCCAACACACAATATTCTAAAGAAAGGGACATTTCTTGAAGTGGGAGTACCACTAACCAAACGATCTCAAATTAGATTTGGAAATTTCATTTTATTATTACCTTTTGATCATATCGGTGGTGCATTGGCTGTTAAAGTGGTAAGCATAAAAAGTATATAATGTCTTTATTAAATATCCCAGAAGAAATATTATTCAAACCTTTTGTTAATTATTAGTTTTTGATAGTAAAGTTAAATATGTTTTTATGATTCATTCTGGTTGCTAGAACGGCACAATATGTATAGTCACTAGTTTTTATTATCTATTGGTTAATTTTTTTAAAAAAGTGGATGTTTCAAATTTATATATATCGTACAGAACCACGTGAAAAACAAAATCTATTTTTGTCTAGCAAACGAATGGAATCAGCCACAAAGCCACAAAGCCTAAAGCCATAAAGTCATAAAGCCATAGAGCCATAACTCAACTGTCATAAATCAACCGCTGTAATCTGAACGTTGTTTCCCGAGGAGCAGAAATATCTTGTGAAACGTGAGTTAATTGGAAAAGCGACAGCTACAATTCGAAGCTTCATAAGAAGAAAGAGTAACCGACAAAGGCGTTGGTTTCCGAGGGTCAGAAATCTCAACTAACTATAGCTATCTAGAAGTGGTTAGCTAACAAAGCAAAAATGTGGTAATTACTAGTGACCAGCGTTGGCTCGTCAGGTGAAGTAGGTGAAGGGGCTCTTCACCAAAAATTTAAAAAACACAAAAATTAAATAAAAATTACGAAACTTTTTAAATTATTAATTTATAACACTTTTGGCAGCTTTTATCTTTATGTTTTATAAATCTAAACATTTAAAAATTAATCAAACGCCTCCTGCACAATATTTAATATTTCCGTAGTGCAACTCTGCATTAATATGGTACCCCTAGTTAAAAAAATTCAAACGATGCAACAAGCCGCGTCGCTGGCCGCTCTCCCGAAACCAAGTGAAAAATGTTACGGTGGAACTGGACCGGCTACTTTAAAATAGGTATCACCTGCCAATTCCTCATACCTATTACCAAATATGAGAACCTATTCCTGCCTTTCCTATTCCGCGTTCGCTGGCAGCCGTCGCGCATCACGGAATCGTAGAGGTGTTGATTTTCGTTACTTTTGAATACTCGTTACTAATCTTTACTCGACTACTAAGTAATCATTTAATATATTCGTTACTATTGTTTCTTTGATTACTGTAACTGTACTCAATATTCAATTCAACTATACAATTAATGCAAAATTCTCGGACTGTCGTTAATTCGAAGATCATTTACTTGTATAATTTTGTTGTTGATATTATGGAAATATTAAGGTAGAAAATACGTAGGAACTGTTCTGTGTATAACTTTACTTTAAAAATCTAATGCGTTACATACAAATAAATACATACTTAGTCTAAAAGTAAATAGAAATAGAGACAAAAATAACAATCTTAGATGATATCTCAAAAACAAAAAGTTTGGACAAAAACAACAAAAATAAAAAAAAAACATTCTGTATATGTAGATTGCAGTAAAAAAACATATCTTAAAATAATGTATAAATCTTAGTTGTAATGCAAAAAAAGGATAATTTTATCATTTTCTCCCTTCAATCGACTCCTTCGTTCTGATATCAACTGTCCAGCTTTTGAAAATATCCGTTCCGAGGGTACCGAAGTCGCTACTATGCATAAATACTGTTGAGCCAATTTGGCTAGATGATGATATATTGCCGCCCTGGCTTTCCACCATTCCAACGGATTTTCTTTCCTGCTTATTAAGTCTTCTGCTAGATAAGAACGTACTTCTAGTATTGCCGCTGCTTTTGGATCAATTTCTTTTCGAGATTTGCAGATTCTATCGAAGTCGGTCCAAATTAAATTCTCATCTTTTTCTTGATCCATTAAGCTTTCACAATCTGCAGTGTTACCATCGTTAATATTGGTATTATCATTATGGCGACGTTCTACGTTTATCATTCGAGCTACGTCCGTTTCTAGCCGGTCTTTAGCCATATTAAAAGTTTGATCAGAACTGAACACTTTAGATTTAAATCTAGGATCTAACATAGAACACGTTGCCTTTAAATTATTAGTTTCGACAGTCGAAAACCTTTCAGATATTTCTTTTTCATAATGGTTTATTTACGAATTTGCCCCTGGATTTGTTATTACTTGCTTAAACTTTACGATTGCCGATTTTAAACCTTTAACAATTATGATTACTTTTGATAGTGTAACATTTTTTTCTGCGCTCATTTCCGTTGTTATCTGCCCAAATGGTTTTAAAATGAAACAAATGTCTTTAAGCAACTGCCATTCTTCTTGAGACAGCTTCTGAACAGGATTATTTAATATTCCCAAAGTAGCTACAAGTGGCTCTCAAACCTTTAAAAATATTTCAAACATGAAATACGTCGAATTTCATCTCGTTACAACATCATTTATTAATTTTAAAGGAGTGGAACCTTCATTCGACATTTGTCTTTGAATTTCAAGAAATTTGTTTTTCGCCTTTGTAATTCTGTGGAAATGTTGCACTATCATTTTAACCTTTTTTGCGTAATGGTTCTGAGATTTCCAACCCGCTTTGCACAACTAAATTTAGAGTATGTGCAAAACATCCTATGTGACCCCATCCTGTTAATCTTACGCCTACTTTAACATTTGCAGCGTTATATTTCGTAACCGAAAAAACTTTGTCTGAAATACCCCATTCTTCTGCAATCCTAAATAATTCTGATTGTAAATGTTGAGCAGTATGACTTTCATCCACATCTACCACAACCCATTCATAAATATTGTTTGTTTACACACCAACATTAAACGTCAGATAAGGTTGAAAATGGCGTCGTTGTTTACATTACTGATATTATTCCCATGGCCGTATCATTAACAGGAAAATGGTACAGTAATAAAAGAATTCTTTTAAAATTTTTATTTATATATTTATTTACACAATGATGTATTATTCAAAAGCAAAGAATAACGATATTTAAACAATTTATAAATAGTATTATGACCAATGTAACATTTTAAAAATATGTTTTAAAAATATAATATTGCTAATACACTATTAATTTACAGAAAACTGTGCAATTTTCTAGGAAAGGTTTCAAGAAGTATGATGTTTGAGGTCTAACATACTTACATATATTGGAAAGAATTCATATATATTTCCTAAAAAGAGATCTTTTAGTTCTTATCAATACTTCTGATGCTATAATTCGTTTAGAGACTGGAGAGTAAAGTATGCAATTAATAATTTAATATTTTTAAAATGTCCCTTAACTGGATACAACAAATAATAACAATGCAACATCATAGCTATGCATTGCTTTGTTTTGAACAACAATTTCGATTGAACAACTCTACAAATATGAAGTATAACTGGATAGTACATATGAAAAATTGATATTGATAATGATTTTGTTCATATATAAAACAATTTAAACCAACTTTATTTTAGTTATAATAGGAAAGATTTGTTCAAGTGTTTTACACATTTACATAATTTGGTTGTTAGTATAGCGTCTCCTTATACTTTTATATATTTATAAAATTATTTTCCTACCTCTTGTGAACCAAGTACATACTTGCTTTCTAAATGACCTATTTAAGTTACCTATACTTTTTCAATTGTGTAAGTCCAATCTTTTTTTAATTAAATTTTTATTAAATTGTATTGGATATGTTATTGATTATAGATTATACTGTGTGCAATACACATGAAAAAGAAACTGTTGTTTACATTCTTTTGATTGTCTGATTTATACATCAATGAAACAGAATATTCGCTGCCTTGAAAATGTAAATTGCTGCGATACATAATATAATAATTTTTTCTATAAATAAAAATTTCCTTGGTGTATTCGGTCGTTTTTATTTTTTATTCCACAGCAGTACATATGTTTCGGAAAACTTCTCCATCTTCGGGTGCAGTCAAAGTTTATTAAAACATGAGGACGATTACCAACAATTTAAATTTTTTTAAAAATAACAGGAACCTGTTTCAGCGTGTGAAGGGGTAGTATTCGTTCAATTTGATAAGTTATTGTTCTGCAATTAAAAATGTAGTTATTTTACCATAACTTCATGACATAGTTTCAATATTTCTATTATCTACTTGATTAAAAAATTTCATACCTTTTGAAAATTGGGAAAACCTTTAGGATACTTGCAGTTGGCGGTTCACTATCTGATTCATTAAACTACTTGTAGTAGTAGTAGTAGTGCTGCATGCCCTGGATAGGATATAATCCGATTAAAATTTTAACTACACATAACAGACAATTATTAAAGAAAATATATAGGCATACCTGCAGAGATATTCTACTAATTTTATAGTCAGCTATAAGATATTTTTTAGTAATTTAAATTATATATTTAATGTTATACCAACTTCTTTAGAAACTGATGGAGAGCTACAAAAGGATTAAATATTTAACGATATGCAATCACATACTTTGAAGGTGCAAAAGAAGATATATTTACATTATGATTACCTTGAGGTGTTAGGAAGATTAACTTGTTTTGAACTAGCATAATTTTTCAAATATTTCAGGCCATTCGATGTAAATAAGAAATTGCTATCCTCAAAATGGCTAGAGCTCCCGTTCCAAATTGATTCCCAAAATACCAAACCAAGCTTTTTTCTCTTAAAATTTGCAGGAAACCTGAAACAGTTATTAGTATCAATTTTAAATGTAATTTAAAAAGAAAAAATAAATATATGCTTGTTTATAAATGTACAAATATTTTATACACTACAGATACGCCAATGATTAAAAAATATAACCTATAATTAACTTCAATTTAAACTTACTTGTAAAACAATAAATTTGGATTTAGATAATACAATTCTTTGCATACTTCACACTTTCTAACCAGATTTGCGGAATAAGATGTTTAATATTGTCCAAAAGTATAAGAAACAATAAAGACGATTTGACAACTGATACTACTTAACCTTGTACAAAAACGATAGTAAAGCGTCATAAGTCATGAACAATTTATGAATGGGATGCAGCTAAGCGCGGTTGTCACGTTGAGGCCGATTTTTTTATTATCACTGTACTTATTTTTTATATAATTGATTAACAAAGATTATATTTGGTTTGTAGTATTTCAAAAGTTGCTTCAACCCGATCTTACACGTACTTAATAATTCAGTTATTATTAACAATATTTAACAGGAATATTAGAGGTTTCTTATTTGCTGAAAACTATTAGAAAGTAATTTAGATAGACTTGGCAATGTGGTAAATCAACTGTAATCTTATCCACCACATTAGCTTAGAATGTGACTGATTGTTGTTGATCACGGTGGTTACATCTTCTGGTTTCTATATCTATGCTTTCATCATATTTTCCGCATTCTAATAAGCAAGAATTTAAAGTCCATTCAGGGGTTATAAAATGAGCGGTATAGCAAATATAACTCATTTGACTATGTTGAGCAGTCCATCCGTCTGTAGTTAGAGCAACTGATTCAGCTTTTGAAATCAAATTTTTTAATTTCTCTTTTTTTGTTCATACTTTTGCGGCAGGAATTAATTAGTAAACGTAAAGCGGCTCGGTATGACAAAGGAGGGCTCCAGACCCCCAATTAGTTCCCGAAAACCCCTATCTTCAACGATTTATAAAGGTTGTAAGTCTTTTACTATCATGTTTATAATTAAATCATTAATTTTTTGCTGACTAGGTAAAGAAATGGCCTCACTACATGGCTTAAAATTGAGGTTTGTATTTGCGATTGACCTTTTCTTCTTTTTAAGGATGTTTGACTCGTGCTACCTTTAGTCCTAGTGCTTGTGCCACTTAATATTGAAGTAGTTTCAGTTTGTCCACAAATCTATTTCGATATAGTTGAAGCTGAGGCGTTAGCGAGGTCTTCATTTGCGCTCTCATTAGACTCACTGCAGTTAGAAGTTGACAACCGTCCTCGACCAGAAAAAGTCGTCGAAGTGGATCCAGTTCTCTCTAAAAACCAAAACAGTTCAAATTTTGCATAGTTTTAGCTTTAGAAAACAGCTCTTAAATACATGGTATTGGATTAAATAGGTAGGTACTAGTGTAGTTTTACCTTCAATATATGTTTGTTTTGTCGAGGCTCGAGGTTGAGGTGGTTTGCCAGTTTTGCTCAAAAAAATGTGATGTTTTGTCTTTAAATGTTTCATTAAATTTGAGGTCGAACCTCCTTTATATGAATATTTGGACCAACAAATATTGCATTTGGTTGATACCAAGGATAAACTTTTAAAATGAAGCCAAATTTCACTCCGTTTTGATTCCATTTCAACCTAAAAAACATTTTAAAAACATTAATTAAGAAGCAGAAGTTAAAGTGTTCGAGAGTGGTTCTGGGGTCAACCGGGTTAGACTACTTATTGTCAAGAAACAAAATTAATATATAAAATGCTATCTTGTAAATGTAGAGAGAATGCTGACAGAGTTGCCCTATGCAATATTTTTGAAAGAATAATTCCTTTTATCTTATAAGATATGCCAATCAAATGTTTAAAATACAAAATTGTTTGCTCAATGAGAGAAGACAGCATTTTTCACACATTCCATTAATGCCTATAATTTTCGATTTAACATTAGCTGTTATGTATTTATTATGTTTAAACAGGAACTTTTTAAATAAATCATTGTATATAATAAATGATTGTTTAACTGATAAAAACTTCTTCCCGTTTTAGATAGACATGGCCTAGAAAATCATGGAAATATTTATTGGAGTCCGCGCTACAAAGTACATGGGTTTGAAACCTGGAACTGTTTTAATGTTTTTATTATGTTTAGATATAGGAATTTTTTATATTAAATTTTTCAAATAAATAATTTTTCATTTTATAATTTATTGTTTAAATGTAATGATAAAAACTGTTTCCCGTAATTCCTGTTTTAATGAGAAAATAGCCTGGACAATTATCGAAATATTTCTAAACAGTGACACAACAAATATCTGGTAAGAAAAGCTTATAAAGGTCCATTACAAATTCATGATTTCA